CCTCTTTTTCAAGGGAGTCCTGAATGTTAACAGGCTCGAATGTCAAAACAACAGTGCATGGAATAAAAAGCAGTTTGTTTTTTTCTTTCGGAAGATGACTGTTCTTCGCCTCACATCCTAATTAAAGTGAGCTCAGTGCAAATGCCAGATATAAATCCTTAAAACATTAACAACTGAAACGAACAATCGCTGGTCGAGTTTGAAATGTTAGTCTCACAATCCTGATTTCCATGTGTAATGCCGGCTCCATGGGAAAATAAGGTAATCGATATAGATGCAGATGGCTTTTTGTGGCCATACCTGCATGTGAAAGCCAGATTCATCAGACCTCTGAAGCTAAGCAGGGCAGGGCCTGGTTTGTACTGTGATGGAATACCTCTGAGAACACTTAGACAACACTTCACCCACATTGCTTCTGTCAGTGTGCCCCAGGGCAGCTGTGGCTACAGTAGTAGTCAGTCACCAGTGTGTGTGGAGTGAAAGAATAATGACATGTAAAGCTTCTTTAAATGTCCAATAAAAATCGCAATATAAAACCAATATATTATTACTGTATTGACATTTTAAAGTAATCTGTATAGTTCTTGAAAGGACACTTAAAAACATTTTCAACTAAATTAGTGCTACCTTGTTGTGAGATTATGCCTATTGATGGGCTTCAGCTTCCATGCACCCATATGCTGATTTTGATGAGAGGACATGAAATTGTACGTGTCACTCAGGAACAGTTGGGGAGCAGCGCCAGGTCAAACGTTTTGATTGTACAGACGAGACTGAGCGATGGGGGTCTAAGTGGAGACAGATGGCCGTTCCGCTGGACTGACATCAGAGAAATAAATAAATGAAGAAAGTAGGTCACCAAATGTTCCTTCCGTGGGGCGTACTGTCACCTGGTCAATTGTGACAGTACAGGTGGCACTATCCAAAAGTTAATGTAGTTCATTTTTTGAGAAATAATTGCAAAATGTATTTAAATTACCAAATAATAACTCACAGTACAATAAGTTCTATCTTTAGTTAAAAAAGTGAATAGTCCCATGCATGTATTTTTGAACAATACGTCACATCTTTAGATCAGCTTGTTTGGACAGAAAAGAGAGTATCAGCTCAGACTCAGCCAATCAGCTTTGAGTACGTAACAGATATTTTTAGTATTTTAAAAAGATAAAGACAGTATGTTGAGGTCTGATTTTGTTCTCAACATAAGAACTCTCAAAGCAGTCAAATTGGCGGCTTTTACTCAGTGTATAGCTGTTGCTTTATTTTTTCATTCCAAGGAAAACATGTCTTGTGTCTTTCTTGTTTTAAGGCAGTCAATATAAGATAAGATAAACCTTTGTTAGTCTCACAGTGGAGAAATGACAGTGTCATCGTTGCGCACATTACAGCAGAGAGAGGAAATAAGAGCACTCAAATTGCACACATCAAAGTCTATTATTTAAGATAATAGACAGTAAAATTAAGATAAAAATAAAATAAAATGAGATAAAACTCTGGGCTATAATTGCACTTGGTTCGGAAGTATTTACAGATGTCTATATTATACATTAGCAGCGGAGAATAGGAGAATATTAATATGAGCAGAATAAACATCAAAAATAATATCGACAGGTAAAGTGACTTGAATGGGAGAATTATCAGATGGATATGAATAATACAGTTCAAGATATCAACAGGTAAAGTGACGGTGAAAGGCAGAAATATCAGATATGCTTCAGTCAGTGTGCCCCAGGGCAGCTGTGGCTACAGTAGTAGTCAGTCACCAGTGTGTGTGGAGTGAAAGAATAATGACATGTAAAGCTTCTTTAAATGTCCAATAAAAATCTAAATCTAATATAAAACCAATATATTATTACTGTATTGACATTTTAAAGTAATCTGTATAGTTCTTGAAAGGACACTGAAAAATATTTTCTACTAAATTAGTGCTACCTTGTTGTGAGATTATGCCTATTGATGGGCTTCAGCGTCCACTTCCATGCACCCATATGCTGATTTTGATGAGAGGACATGAAATTGTACGTGTCACTCAGGAACAGTTGGGGAGCAGCGTCAGGTCAAACGTTTTGATTGTACAGACGAGACTGAGCGATGGGGGTCTAAGTGGAGACAGATGGCCGTTCCGCTGGACTGACATCAGAGAAATAAATAAATGAAGAAAGTAGGTCACCAAATGTTCCTTCCGTGGGGCGTACTGTCACCTGATCAATTGTGACAGTACAGGTGGCACTATCCAAAAGTTAATGTAGTTCATTTTTTGAGAAATAATTGCAAAATGTATTTAAATTACCAAATAATAACTCACAGTACAATAAGTTCTATCTTTAGTTAAAAAAGTGAATAGTCCCATGCATGTATTTTTGAACAATACGTCACATCTTTAGATCAGCTTGTTTGGACAGAAAAGAGAGTATCAGCTCAGACTCAGCCAATCAGCTTTGAGTATGTAACAGATATTTTTAGTATTTTAAAAAGATAAAGACAGTATGTTGAGGTCTGATTTTGTTCTCAACATAAGAACTCTCAAAGCAGTCAAATTGGCGGCTTTTACTCAGTGTATAGCTGTTGCTTTATTTTTTCATTCCAAGGAAAACATGTCTTGTGTCTTTCTTGTTTTAAGGCAGTCAATATAAGATAAGATAAACCTTTGTTAGTCTCACAGTGGAGAAATGACAGTGTCATCGTTGCGCACAATACAGCAGAGAGAGGAAATAAGAGCACTCAAATTGCACACATCAAAGTCTATTATTTAAGATAATAGACAGTGAAATTAAGATAAAAATAAAATAAAATGAGATAAAACTTTGGGCTATAGTTGCACTTGGTTCGGAAGTATTTACAGATGTCTATATTATACATTAGCGGCGGAGAATATGAGAATATTAATATGAGCAGAATAAACATCAAAAATAATATCGACAGGTAAAGTGACTTGAATGGGAGAATTATCAGATGGATATGAATAATACAGTAAGATATCAACAGGTAAAGTGACGGTGAAAGGCAGAAATATCAGATATGAAATAATACAGTAGTACTGATAACAGTAAATATCAGATATGTAATACAGTTGTAAGGTGACAAAGAGGGCACAACTCAGCAAACGCGGCCCCATGGAAGACGTTAACCAGTACACGGATAAAGTAAACATGCAATCTGGGAATGTCCATCCCAGAGCTGCATCCAAGACATAAAAGGGGTCAAATGGAGGACTATTCCCCCTTTCGTAAACATGCCCTCCCAAGGCCCTGACACTTCAAACAACCTACGGGTCATTGGGAGGCCCGGAGGAGCAATAAAACAGCAGCACAACCATCTGCGTGCCCTGTTGGCCAACAGAGGTCTGATACCAATCAACCATTGTCGCCCCTCTGGGACATTCCACAAACGCCGGGATTCACCCACGGCGTTCTGGCGCCCCCCAGTGGATACTGGACACCATCACACCCGAGGCGGACACTCGAAAAGGACATTACTCGGTGATATTATGTTGATAACCGTTACAGACCTTACATGTGTGTATCAATGTCAGGTGATGAAATGCGGTGTGTGTTTGTACAATGTGTTATGCTCGTCTGTATTAATCCTATGTGTTTCCCTTGTAAACTGCCTGTTGTGGGAGGGTTGTCGCACACGGATGACGTCCAAGACGCGCCCACTTCTTGAAGTCAATATAAACACGCACAATGCAACAGAACTTCCTCTTGGTTCTCCCCGAAGTCACCATTGCAACCATCCCTTTTGGTACGTGTCTCCTACACGACCTCCGCCCGCCACCATCTCGGGCCTGTACATCCACGGGACAGCAACCACTCTCGCTGTTGGAGACGAGGACCTTCCATCGCCAGCCACTTTCGGGCTCCCTGGAACACCCCACCGCAACGCTATTCTAGACCGTGTGTGTGTGGAACCCACGCTTGAACCCGATCTGCCGGCTTCCTCCTGCTCCCTGTTCGAACAAAGACCACGTGGACATCGCCTCCATCCTATTCTTCATTCTCATCCTCCCATCTCCATTCTCCATCCTCCTCTTTTCATCAACATCTCCCTTGAACGGCTCAAAGTAAGACTGTTCTTTGTTAAATGTGTGATTTGAATGAAATGTATACCACTTCTGTTTTAATGTGACCAGAAATTCCCTTCGTTATATTTTTACCTTCATTTTTGTAATCAATAAAACCCCTTTTCTTTAACTCAATCCTATCAGAGTCGTGTTGTTAGATTTCGGATATCCCTGGCCGATTTACGCATTCACTACCTTTTGATTATAAGACTGACTCGAGGCAAAGTTGGTTTGGATCTGTGCAGAAGTAACTGCTGGTGCCCTAAAAATTAAAGCAGATCCCCCCACTCGAATAGGACGGCCAGCCTCTGACTTGGAGACTAGCCGCACTATTCTTCTCTTACAATTTATAGCTTACTGTAATATTATTACCCTACACAGTAGTACTGATAACAGGTAAAGTGACTAGTGACAAAGTTACTGGTGAATTATCAGTGACACTTGTGCAGACTCAGCAGTTCCTGTTACACATTCTCGTTGTACAGTCTGACAGCAGCAGGAAGGAAAGACCTACGGAACCTCTCCTTCACACAGCGAGGGTGAAGCTACATTTTGCCAAGTTTGACTCATTTTTGTCACTTTTTGCAATCCTCACACCTTTTTTAGCAGCAGAAATGTATGCCAGAATTCTTTTTCATTTTCTTTAGATTTAGAAGTTGGGTATATATTATATAGCTTTGAGAACAGCGTGCTCCTCCACGTTATATTGCCATTTGTAATATTAGAATTCTCAGTACAGACTCCAGTAAAGTGCTTATTCAGAAGTATTGCAAACCCCAGTTTGCTGCTTGTCGCCTTTAGGCTCGTATCACTTTTTTTTTCTCCATGTGCTGTGTTTTTTCGTAGCTGGGTTCGACTTACTGACCCGATGAATCTCCCACAATGCACTTTTGCCCCTGCCAACCTCTCCTCTGCATCATGTATATTCATTCTTTTTCTATTTCACTATACTGTCAGGTGCAGTGAGGGCTTTCCTCACCGCGGCCTCTGTCCAGCAGTCCACTTCAGCTTTGGTCATCACGTCTGCGAAATGGAAAAGGATCACCGTCGGAACCTGAGGAACAAACAATCGTGAGTAGTGGCAGTGGGAGGGCTATAAATCTCACTAAAACTGTCGTGATTTCAGGGGGGAGGTTTGTCCCACCAAAAAGGAGCTGGGAATATTAGGAAGAAATAAGAAGAGAAAGACAAAGGAAAGGTTGACTGGAGAAGAGGGTTTGTTTGTGGGATGTAAGGGCTGAACCAACAATGACTGGGTAAATGGAAAGGGAAAACATTGAAAACAATTTAAAAAAAGCTACTGTAAGTTGCTATTTGCTATGGGGGCGACAGTAGCTCAGTTTGTAGAGCATTGGCCTTCAACTGCTCCCACTAATGTCTGCTGTTGTTGTGTCCTTGGGCAAGACACTTAACACCACATTGCCTGAAGCTCCCGCTGAAACACGGCTGTGGCACCACTGATGTAGCAGTCATCTTCCTGTGGACCTACCACCTGCAGAGGATCAACGAGGGACTGGTGCTATGAGCATTGGGTGACAGCTCGCCTTGTCTTCCCCAGAAATGGACTAATAAAGGGGTTGAAAATAAATGAAAGAAAGTTGCTAAAGCAGGCAGCAAACACAAGAAGAAAGACACAACAAAGACAAAGTAGACAGTAAAATACTATATATAGATATTTTATCTTCAAGTGTAGCCTATATGTGGGCAAAATAGATTTTCTTTCAAATTTAATTGGTGCGGCTTATAGACAGGTGCACCTAATAGTCCAGAAAGTACGTCCGTTGAATTAAGTTCTTTCATATTAATTACTTTTAAAACAACACAAAACAGTGATATCTATGACATTGTTTGGATTTATCACTAGTGCATGTATTGTTGGAAAAACAGAACATAGTCTGGTCTGACTTGTTCACAAAATGTTTCTTGAAAAATACTTTCTGTTGGGATAAAACACATTTTGTACTCCAGGTTTGATATTCCTTAGAACAGTGTCTCCCAAAGTGGGGTCCGCGGCCCCCTGGTGGGCCGCAAGGGTACTGCAGGGGGGCCGCGGGAGGCCATAAAAAAAAAATATAATAATAATATAATTATTTAATGTTAAATTTATAATGTTTTGTTTGTAATATTAAAATATTTGTGTTCATTATTTGACTTGAATAATCCACTGTAATCATTTTTGTATTACAATGTTTCTAGCAGAGGCTATTTCCCCAAAATAAAATAACCAGAAGAACCTATTCTTAATGTTGTCTTCTTGGTTATTATTTTGGGGGGCCACGCAGACCCGTCAGATTTTTAAGGGGGCCTCGGTGTTACTGAGTTTGGGAATGGCTGCCTTAGAATACTTGAGCGAACCTGTATTCTCTTTGCAAGTTCATTTAGTGGATCCAGTTGCTTTATTGAATGAAATGAAATGGAATAAAAACATAATAACCTCAAACCTATCAGATACGAAGCCAGAGATGAGTTTTCATTTTCTCCAAAGTAAATTTGGTGGTTTCATTCTGTAAGTTACATTATTGAAGCTGCACAGTTCATATTTGCTGCGAGCAGATAGAATTGAGGAGATATGAGAAACATCCGACCCACAAGTCAATCTAATCCAAACCATGTCATTGAGTTAAAAACAAACAACAATGTGTTTCTGCACTTGTGCGTCTATTCAGTCTGATGGATTCAATCAAGATTCCTTTATAAATCAAGGCTGAAAAATAGCAGCAAAAATTATGGTTTTTATGGGCAAAGTCAGTACAGTGTGTTTCTTTGTTATTTTTACGATTTATTTGTAGAAAATGGATTTCATAGTGACACAGACAAAACAGTTTATCATAACTTTTTTTCACTTTGGTGGAAATGACAAATATTTGATTTGTTATTTGAGCCATTTGAACCAGACTGTAACAGTAATTTAGTGATTTACATGTTTGTTCGAGGAAATAACATCCACAATCTCAGACAGGAAACAAAGCAATCATTCCTGTATTCAATACATGTTTGTACAAAAATCATTTTACTTCTTGGCTGCAGAACAGAGGGAACATCTTACTGGGCTATAAACTAGGGGTCTAAAACATGTTTAATGTCAATTTAATATTAATCCAAGCAGCTATACACACTTGGCTCATAGAAATATGTGAAACATGTATTCATACTCCAAATATAGGAAATAATTTAGTCAAAATACCTTAACTTGATCACTGATGCAAATGAGGAACACATTTAAGTCCTAAGACAGGAAGTACTTCATTGAGATTGGAAACTGTGTCTCAGATCATATGGCTCTGACCTGTGGAGTGCCACAGGGGTCGATCCAGGGACCTCTTGCAGACAACATTCTGATGACTGCAGGAGAACATAGACCCCACTCACTTCTTCACTGCATCCAACAGATTAGTGAGTGGACAAAAAACTAATTTTCTTCTTCCAGCCACACTTGGTCCCCAGAAACAAAGAGAGCGCTATCTGTCACTTCCAGTCTCTCACTAAAACTTTAGAATCCGGTCAGAAATCTAGGGGTAATACTGGTTTCAGATTTGAATAGTCATAGCAAATAACAAAAATAAAGTGTCTTAAGATGATTCGGAGATTTGTATTAATGCATTTGTCTCTGGTAAGTTAGACTTGCTCACTGGTCTCTCCAACCATTCCAGTATATCAGCTTGAGTCCCGACTACAACCTCGAAGTATAATCATATTAGTTAAGTTCTCAGGTCTCTGTACTGGCGTCCTGACTTGAAAGTAGCTCTGCCTGTGTCTCTCTATGGCTGTGCACCAAAGGACATCCGTGACATGTTCATGGAATATGAAAAAGACCCTATACCATTAATTCAAATGCAGGTCTGAATTTCTTTTTCAATGCACTGTTAACATGTGTTATTTATTTTTCATGCCTTTTAATGTTTCACTGATGCTATACAGACGTACTTGCCTTGCCCTACTAAATTGAAAAAGGGCAAAGTAGGAAGTTATCCATATACAAATAAAGATTTGCAAACTGTTCAATATTTCTACGTCATGTCATTTCCGAAAGTTCAAAATTTGAAAAGAATTGAATAAAGAACAGCTTGAGATAATTCCTCTTTTTGGGTAATAACACTCTTTAAACATCGGTTTCACTTTCTCCAATGACTGACCTTTTTTATTTACTTTTCAAATGGGTTAATTTTTTTTCCTAAAATTCATTTTACCAGATTACTATCTGATCAATGAAGCTTATACAAATAAAATGAACAAATGTGTCCCCTTAAAAACAAATAGAATAGTGTTGGAAGCAAGTTTCTGTTGAACTTCAGCTCAGCAGGGTCAGAACAGATTAGAACAAGCTGCTAACGTCGGGAACATTGAGTCCCCTCAGAGATCCCAGAGGAATCAAATACAGAAGAAGCACTCGGAATTCATGAAGCACTTAACAAAAGGATATTTGTATATACATGATAATCAGTAATTACATCTTCCTTCATGTGACCTCGATTTTATATTTAGATAGATCCACAATCTACAATCCACAATTTACTGATTCAGGTGTCCAGTAGCATCAGAAACACATCCATCCGTACAAACAAAACAAATAAATAGATAATTCAAAAAATAGCTAACAATAGTATTAAAGTGATAGTCTGGAACTCTAAATGAATTATACCTTTTAGGAATTGTATTAAATTGACCTCCTGGCCTTAAATGTTGATATAAAATAAGTCACTTTATGAATTCTATTATTGAGGCAAGTCCCGCCTTCCCTTCTCTTAGCTATAGCTCAAAATCCACGATGGCGTCCAGTTTAACCAACCAAGGGCTGTAAATCATCGGCGCATGCTCAGTTGTTTGTTTTCACAGAGCCTCTGAATGAAGCCTCCATTAGGCTCTGAAACTACATGAAAACTGAACAAGGAATTCTGAACATCCGCGCTGAGTTACGTAAGGGATAACATATAGTACGCAGGTCATTATCGTAAATTAAGTACCGACAGGGCGAAGCAGACCCCAACGCGCAGTGAAGGGGTCTGCTTCCGCCCTGCGTAATATACGTTATCCCGCTTATTACACGGATTTATACCAACAGAACACACAACATAAACTTCAGTCCACTTTTAGGAATGCCGAAAGGTTTATTTAAAATAAGAAAGAAAATAAAATAGTTCCCAAAGGCTTTCCAGTGGCTATGCTAGCAACAGTTAGGCTATGAACTTCCAAACTAGAACTCCCTGGAACTGCATGAAAACTGAACAAAGAATTCTGAACATCAGCGGTGAGTGACCCGAACATAAACCTAACCTAAATCCATAATTCGATCCTCTGCAAATGTGTCCTAAAATGTGCCGGTATCTACTTCCGGGTTTTTCGTGATCGCCTTTTCTCGCATTACATCAGTGTTTTTGTCATGAAAATGTAAACGGAAAATTCTTAAAACTTCCGTGCACTTGTATTAAGAATGTATATGTATAAATTACTCTCCGATTAACATTTAATTGCGTTGATTGATTGGCATTTGCGTTTAATGAGCGTGGCTAGCTCCGGAGTGGCTGGAACTACTACCGGGTTTTTCATGATCGCTTTTTGACGCAGATACATAGTATTTTTGTCATGAAAACAAGAGTAGTAAATTCTGAAAATCTCCGTGCACGTGTGTGAAGAATGTATATGTATAAGTATTCTCCGATTAATTATTTAAGTGTGTTGATTGGTATTTACGTTTATTGAGCGTGGCTAGCTCCGGAGTGGCCGGAGTTATCCACGCATTTGAAATACAAGCGGAGAGTGCGTTGCCATGGGCAGCGGTCATTATTGTTTTGAGAGGTCCGTTATAGAAAATAATGACCGGTAGAACGTTTTGAGATTACATTCAAATCAATGGAGCGTTCTACTGCTGCTCTAAGGAGCCGTACGTACTTCCGGGTTTACAGCGATCGCTTTTTTTGTGCATTAAGACATTATTTTTGTCATGAAAACATTAACAAAAAATTCTGAAAACCTCTGTGCATGTGTATTAATAATGTATACGTATAATGTGTTCTCCGATTAACATTTAAATGTGTTGATTGATTGTTACAGAAACGT